GTTATGCTATGCATGCCGTGTCAAAAAATCGACTCAAAGGGGTCATGGATTAGCGCAACGGCGGAGCGGACGCGAACGCGTGCGGGTTGCGTCACATTTCTGTCCGATCAAGCGGGGACTAGCGCCAACGCTTTAACACATTAGTCTTAACTTTAGTGTGTGATAAACAGAATCAGCAAGAGAGCATGGACTCATTGAAATAAACTTCGAGGTTATTGCGCATTGCTTATTGTTAGGGTTTTTACGTGAAGGCGTTGCTTTCCCTCACACTCTCAGAAAATCCTAATCTCAAAGCGCGAGAGCTGTACCTATACGTTTACAAATTTCGCTCTCGGGCACTGGTTGGTAAGACGCTAGCAACCCTTCCTCCATTCGAGCGAAGTGACGATGTACATCCCGTCCTCTTGTCGCGCTTGCCGCAGCTGTGACGTCACTGGTACGCGCTCGCATCCGCGCCGCCGGTGAGCTTTTCTTTCCCTCCCTCCAAGCAATGAATTCTATCCTTCCCCAGGGGAACGCGTCCCCGCCACTGATCCTATCCCATAGTTGGGGGAGACAGGGTTGCGTCATAGGACCAGCCATACTCTGCGTTTCTAGACTCAGACAGCGCGACCCTCAGAGAAAAGAGTGCCTCAACAGGAGAGGGTAGCTACAACATCAGGTCTTTAATGGCGGGTCCTATGACGCAACCCTGTCTCCCTGAAGCCAAAGACAGAATCAGCTTCGGGGTACACGTTCTCCTGGGGGAGATAGGAGACGGCTTCAGAGGGCCGAAGCCGCTGAATGAGCGCTGAACGCAAAGACTGTGCCGTCGTCGTCGTCTGACTCATTTCGATATGAATCTTGGGGCTGACAACAGCCTCGTCTCGATGCTCTCCCAAGGTTAAGGGACGCGAAGTTGCTCAGAACCTGCCACACCTCTCCTTTCCTACATTCCAGACATCCAGAGCAACTCGACTTCTGGGAAGATACATCGTCCCGCAACAGAGGATCCATTGAACACCAACCAGTAATTGAGGAGCCCCTTACCGAAATCCTGTGTCCCTCCCTAACCAGGTGGCGGAAGATAGCATCGAGAGGGTCTCGTCCTCTTACAAGGGGGGTCTTTCAGGGCAAGCCACGCTTTTTCAAAACGGTTTTTGCATATTGTAGGGACGCATGTAGGGAACACAAAACCATGTTTCATTTTCGCTGAACGGTTTTAGCAGTACCAAAAAAGAAGCATAAGGTACTGTTAAGGTTCGATCCCCGTGGCGACTAAATTTTGCATTTGGGTTGGCGCCTACGGTTTGGTGCCAAATCGCGCTAAATATCAAAATCAGATGTCAAATTCATCGTCAGGACCATTTTGAAGCCAACAAGTGGCCGCCAACCTTGATTGCAAAATTTAGTCGCCGCGGGGGATTGAACCATCAAGAGGTATCATTCACCACTTTTTGATACTACTAAAACCGTTCAGCGAAAACGAAACATGGTTTTGTGGTCCATACATGCGTCCCTACAATATGCAAGAAACCGTTTCCAAAAGCGCGGCTTGCCCTGAAAGACCCCCCTTGTTAGGGAAGGGATAGCTATGGCCCCATGGTGGACTAGCGGCTGTGCAAGGAGCGGAGATGGGTTATAGCGCCTACATTTTGGGTCAAGATGGCCTCTTGCACCCTTGCTGCGCATTTTTGGGCTATTGATGCTAACTGCACAAAGCCTTTCAACCAGTTGCTATACTCTTCGATGGGAAATACATGCTATATCCAGTGGAAACACCATATTCAGTCATCAACTTTGATTGATTTCCAACTTTTTACCAATCTTTATTGAAATTCTACAAAATACAATTAAGAATAAAACTACAATTTAAGTTCGTTAGATGTTAGGTTTTCTATTTTTTTTTTCTATTTTTTTAAATGTGGGAGATTAATCATTTTTTCTTCGCCGCCTTCTTTTCTTCAGGTTTCTTTCTTGTGGTGGAGGATTTGATTTCCTTGCTTCCTGTGGACTTATCAGTTCCACTAGTACTGGCAGAACCTTTGCCAATCTTAGAGGTTGATGTGGCGCTTGTCGAAAGTCCCGTTTTTGGCGGAGGAGGCGCCCGCTGAAAATCCATATCGAATAGAGCATTTCAATCAGAAAACCAGAAAGTGCATTGATGGCATACCTTGCGTGACTTTATCCATCGATGGAGAATTACAACCACTATCAAAACAACACATATTATCGCATAAAGCATGAGGTAGCTTGGCGAGGTCATGGCTGAAAGGATGAAGGCATCAAGTTTGTTGACATTGTTTATTTTCTGAATGTTCCATTGCCCTCAGTCCAGCGTCAACCGTCTGTCCGAACGAGGGGGTCGCATTTTGCCCATGTAGTGAGGAGGGGGTCTCAAACCCGGGGCCTGCGGCGGAAATTGTGGTGATGTCGTCAATGGTAGGTGAGTGAGAGAGGGTATGCTGGAAGAGAACACGAGTTCATGGAAAAATACAAAGTTAAAGTTTTTCAATTTGGGTTTGATTGTTCTATATACCCTCCAGAGGGGCCTGAATGAGCTTGCTAGAAGCTATAAGGAGGATAATAAGTATTTAAATTTTATGCAGTCTGTAAGAATGCAGCACATATCTGTAGGCTTAGGCTTGCATTACTGCACGACAAGGATAGGAATGGCTGGCTTTACCAGGTCATAGCAAGCGGTGATGTCATAAAAGCGGTAATAGGCTGTCTTCGCAACTTTGAACCACAAGTGCGTGCGTGGCGCATCTCAAAGCAGGACTTATTGGCGACAGCCACTTTAAATACAATTCATGGCAAGCAGAAAGATTGTTCTGGACGGATCTTTGTGTATTCTGATTAGAAAGAGAGCAAGGAAGTGCAACGACTCGAAAGGATGACTCCTCGAGGCTAAAAATAGAAATTCCAGAGGAGTCAGAAGCTTCTTTAAGCTCATTGTGATGTGTGTTTGATAGAACAAATCTCTCAGTTCTGAAAATTACCTTTCCCCACCAAAGCAGGCTTGCTAAAGAAGCTATGACTGCTAAAATTTCGAAAACTCGAGGATCTGCTCTGCTCGGCAACCTATTAAAAAAGTGCAAACATATAATTTCAGAAGGTGCTTTTCAACGACGTCTCAGTGTATCGTGCGGCGATAGGAGGGAAGCGGGATGTGGGAAGCATGAAAGCAGAGTATTTATTTATTTATTTTATGCCGTTTAGAAGGTGCGCTACATTAATTCATATCTTAAGCATCAGTAAACTAGGGAACACAACATTAATTAAGTGAACCAGCTAGGCAGCAGGCGAGATAAAGAGATGATTCTCCAGGACTAAATTTTGGAAAAGCAGAGATGTCGATAAATGCAAATTAGGAGATTCCTGTAGGCCCAATTGAAGTTGTGTCTCGAACAGAAATGTGTTCAGTATTCGTCAGTCAATATTTAGAAGTCAATGGGCGGCTAAGCCAGGGATAGACACTCTAGCGGCCGAAGTTAGATACGGATAGAGCGCAGGGGATATGTGAGAAAACATGATTCAAAATAATTCTTTGCCGGTTCTTAGTAGCTCGTCCCCCGATCCCTCACGTTGCGAGGGGAGTATTCGAAGCGTACAAGAATGAAAGTGCATCTTCGCAGGGAATAGGGCTATGTGGCACACGGCATGCAAGGGCATCTCATCTACCGCCCGCCCCTCGCATGATATCTCGAAAGAATGAACGCAGTTGTTAGGGAGCTGTCGCAAAATGGCAAAGTTCTAAAAGACGGGCAAAGGAAGCGTGTTTTCAGGTTTAAGAGTTAAGAAACGTCTATACAATGTTTTCTGTCAACAGGTCATCATCATATGTATAACACCTTTCAATAGATTCTACAACTTGAGTGGAGGTCGGATGCATGGCCTATACTGAGACGAGATCGGACGATGACGATTGCCCCTTTTCTTGTCGCTTACGTTGGGAGAATTTATTCTAGAACATTTCGAGCTGTCGCTTCCAACGAACTAGCAGTTGCAATTGGTGAAGAAAGGAGCGGCTTGTTTAGATGTGTGGATCGAGATACGCGCCGTTGATAGAGCCTCGTCGCAAATATCTCCAAATGAAGCTGTAGAGGGAGTCAATAGACTTGAGGAAGCGCAACCCTGTTCGGATGATGTAGTTGTCTTATTTTCAAGGACCGTACGATTAGAGATATAGTGCTTTGCTACGTAGTTAAAAAGTCGCCATGAAAATTCGCGTCTCGATGAGCCTCGAAAGTTTGAAATGACGACCTTTTCGAGTGTGAAGATTTTAGATCAATTTCAATATTGCCCGGTAGTAGCAAATCCAGCTCTATCTAACCCTACCACATACTGCTCCAAGGTTATGAAATGGGGGAATGGAACCTTTTCATCGAGAGTGTAGATTTCGACGGTTTCGAGCGGGGTTTCGGCAAATCTGACCCACGGATAAACCGCGCTGCAACTGAATGCTTTGCTGTACATTGATGGAACTCGCTTATTCACATCAAATCAAAGTTAGAGGGGTCGTATCAAGACCCCGATCTGAGGGGGGGGGGTCGTACTGATGTGACCACGTCCTCGACACGATTTTCACCCCACTTCTGCCATGGCCCTTGCTACTGAGAGATCCTTTTTATGACGTCCCTCCATCATTTACTTAAAGGCGGATTTTACGCTGAAAAGGTAGCTTATTGGAAATAGAATGGATAGAGGTGGTTAGTGGAGCAGGGATGAAGAAGAAACCATGTGAAACGGCCCGGAACCCGAGAAATGGGACCCCTTCCTTGTTGATTTCCGCATTGATGCGACTCTCATCGCTGTGCCCTCTTCAACGCTAACGCTCTCTCTGCTATCTAATCACTCGCTGCGTATAGAGCTATAGTCAGTGATTAAATTTTCGTTCTTAGGAAAAGAGAGCAGACCAAAATGAAGAATAAGGCCATATAATTGCTCATTCACATTTCTATGCAAAAATAAAGGTTGATCTCAAAAATGTGATAGAACTTTACTGCCAAACAAGCAATTACATAATGCAGTCACGGCTTCTGTTACTTCTGATATAACGATATAAGTACTCACAATAACATATCTCACTGCTCTTGCCATGAAACACCACTTTATCCTCCCCGAGCGTGACATTCACCATGTACAAATAGCAATTTGTGTCCAACTTGTAGGCAGGCGAAAGCTGCAATGATTGGTTATTTGTATGAACGGATTACTAGAGAGATTGATATTTGATGTGGCAAAATTTTGATATGTAGGCTGTGATGCAATTCTCAGAAATACCGCTCAGTAGGACACGTACTTATTAGGAAGTCCAGCAATCGGAGCAGTCGAGATCAAGTGAGAGCTCACTTACCTATTAGTCCAGAAACGGCGTCCTCAAAGTACAACGCGCATCCGAAC